GGTTAGAGGAGGTCGGAACATGTGGCCTCCTTGCCGTTTTTGCAGTGTGCAAAAGAAAATATTAGCACATATAAAATAATAGATATTTGGGAAGCAAATAAGAAGAGAAATAAAATTCCTTTTTCATAGTGTTACCAAGAAACATTTTTAATAAAAGAGTTTATTTTCATAGATTAAGAGTACATGCCCTTAATGGCCTATATAAAATACACATGCACACATTCCCTTACATTTCCTGAACTTCAGGTTTATAAGCCCATTTTAATATAAAAAATGAAAACTAAATAAACTGCAGGCATTTCTCAGTCTAAGGCTATATACCTCACCTCTTAGGCCTCTCTTCATGAAAAAAAAAATCCTCTCCAATTTCACTCTAATCCTGAGATTTCATGGTAAACCAAAAAAATCAAACCCACTGTAATCAAGTCAATTGCAACTCACAGGCAACCTTTTAGGATAGAGTAAAATTGCCCCTCAGTATTTCCAAGCCCATAAATCTTTACAGAAACAGACAGCCACATCTTTGTTCCACAAAGCAATTGGTGGGTTCTAATCAGCAACATTTTGGTTACCAGTCAAAAGCCTTCACCACTACTCCACGAGAGCTCCTTAATAACAGCTCTCAAGTTTTCCAAAGCTTAATTTAAACAGTGTCTTTTTTCCCCTATATTATTTTTTCAGATAATCTAAAGAGATAAAAAGTGCTTTTCATCCCTTTGGAGTCCTTTAACAGCTAAACTCTATTGAAGAAGATACACAGACTCATATATTTCAATCAGCAAAACTAGAATTTTCAAAGACAATATAAATGCAATTAAGGATACATGATATATAAAAATAAAGTCTACAAATATTAGCATCTTTTTCTTTTATATGCCATCCATTATATATTTTAAAGTTTCTCTTCTAACTTAATATTGGAAGATATTATACACTTTTTTACATCTTCCAAACTAGAATAGCTGGGGGGGAAAATTTAAAAAAATTATATAATGCCTAATGAATGACCTTGGAAACCAGACCACTGCATCACACTTATCAGCAGTAACATGTATTTGGTATTTTATTTTTTCAACTGTGGATTTTAATTTATTTATAACTGTGGCTCATGTCTGTCTGGAGGTAAAGCAGTCTAAGATGATTAAGTCACTGAATGCTAACACTAGTTTATGATGGTATAATTCCAGTTAAAAACCATCTCTCCTGAATTGGGGGCTTACCTGTGCATCAATATCAATGGCAGGGTAGATAGGAAGCATGGCTGAAGGAGAGATGATAGGACTTGGAGTTGGAGTCTGAGGTTGGGAAATGGAAGCTGCGATACTGTGGGTAGGAGTGTTTGACATTGCAGATGCTCTTCCACTGACTGCTGTTGAACAAAATAACTGCACTTAATAAGGATGAAACACAGGTACAGTAAGAATTAATTATTAGAAAATATTTAAAGACTTAAAAGCAAAATTTCTACAGGGAGACTGCCATAGTACTAAAACTCATTTTCCTAGTTATTTCTGATTTTGGACAACAGTTCAAAATTAAAATTATATTGAGAGTAACCCATTTTCTACATAATGATCTGTTTTAAAAATAAATTCCCTCTTATGGTATGTAGTCACAAAACCCATATTCAAAATAAAGCAAAAATATATTCATATATTAATTAAATATAAATGGCAATGGAAAGTTCTCTACTATACCTTCTGAATTAGAAGAAGAATAAAAAGTTAAACAGTTAAATTCAGTAATGGAAAAATGTGTGTTTTTTTTTTTTTACTTGCCAATTTCACACCTTGCATTCTAGAACTGAAAGTAGTATCACTGGTTGGAAGGGGAGAATCTTGCTATCTAGTCATTTAAAACATCTCCAACTATTTTATTTTACTAACACTGCATTTGAGGAAAATAATATTCTGTACCATAGTCCTCATTACGACAGCATATCCAAACATAAAGATTTGATCCTGACAGAGGAATGTAGTTTTTCACATGAATGATTATTCTGTGCTGGGTAAAACGCCCACTATTCAATCCAGAAATCACAATGACTTACGAGGACAAAATTTTAAAAACAAGGAAGAAATAAATGTATTCACACAATCATTTGGATAATTGTTAGTTTTTCTATATATGATTTTGCCATGATATTATTGTTAACAACTTATGCAACTGAAGTATAATTGGATCACTAGATCAGTACTCGAAGTGAGAGAATTACAAAGGTGGTGGCATAAAATATACTGTAGATTTAGTTGAGGGTACTTTATTCCCTCATCAACTCACTTCTAGAGTTGATATGTGATTGTCATTCCACTCTTTGCCCCCCCTCTTTATAAAAATGTTATAGTATTAAAGTATGGGCATTAATCTTCAAATGATCAACAGTAGCTTAGATGTGTGATAACATGAAGTTACCAACTACATCAGACAGAAAACAGTCATGATTCACAACAGGATCTGAAACCAGCAAACCAGCAAAGAAGTTATGATCCTGCCAAGAACAAAACTGAAATTGGTATCATTATAACAATTATAAACATGATTGCCAAATTAAGAAATCTATATTACATGAAATCCCTAGTTTAGGCACAAACATACACTACATATTATAGCAACACACACATTCTGTTAATTATACATTCTTAAGTCCACTTAAAAGCCAAAGGAAAAACGAAGGAGGAAACAAAACAAAACAAAACAATGAATTTTTAGGGTTCCCAATCAATACAAAAGGGCATGTACTACTATATTAAATCGATCACCTAATGACCTTGATATTGTTATTCCTATCGATAGTATAATATTTTAAGAATCAAATCTATAGTTTTTAAAACCGACTCTGGATTCTCCTTTGATCAGAATTACACCAAGGTAAATACAAAAAATTGCTTAATTAAGCAGGATGTCCACTTTTTTTTTTAATGAAAGCACTGATTTTTATTTAATGACACTAAACAAGTTATTAAAAAAAAACAAAAAAAACCTGACTTTTATATTGATAAATGACTTAAAGTTTTGAGTATTTTCTACATTTCAACTTCAGTAATTTCTTTTAAAGTTTACTAAAATTAGAGAATTTTCTTAATTTGGACAAATTGGTTATTGTTATCACCTTGTCAAAGGAGACAGAGAAAATCTATCCCTATTATTTCCTTTGGGGTACCTATAAAATAAAACTGAGTAACTGCATCTGACCCATCTATTCTCTATAGTTAAAGGAACAACTGTAAATATGTAGGTACCTGAAGAAACATATCTTTTTACATGCAGGTCTCCATTTTAGGGTTAGATTTTAGACAAGGAAAACCACATGCTCAGAAAAGTTTTAACATCAGGGTAAGAAAGAGGGAACTTCAGACCACAACAAAGGCAAGATGTTAAGACTGGTTAAACAGGGAATTGATTTTGCTTTGGCAAGTACAAAGGACAAAGAAGGCAGAAGATATTGGTCAGCCAAACACTAGAGAAAAGAGACAGAACTTTAAAAGAGCAAGCTAACAAAAAGAGGCTAAGGAATAAAGAGCAAAGGATACACTGAAGGAAGGGAAGGAAGAATATGAATCTATTAGGTTGTAATAAATTAAGAAACCCACAGAAGGGAATGAAAATGGTCATCAGGCAACTGAAAGAACAAGTACTACCATAGATATTTAAAGAATGAGGCCTTGACACTAAGTGTGTGTGCATGTACATGTGTTCATGTGCACAGGCATGGTGAGAGGGATGGGTTGTAGGAAGGTACCTGGATGTTTTTATCCAGTTCTTCCTTCTGGCCCTCTTTCCTCTATCCATATAAATGAGCCAAATAAACAAATACAGCATTTTTATATTATGACAAATACTTGTCATAATAACTGAAAAAAATGTGGTCTTTAAAACAATTTTAAATGTGAACACCTGGGACAATACATGTAGAATTTGTTTTTATTATATGTATCAATAGAAAAGCTACTACAAATCCTTTTAAATTCTGATTAGCATAAAAATTGTATAAGTGACAAATCACTGTTAATGCCTATGCCCAAGCACATCAGGTAAACTTTGATAGTATATAAAAAAAATAAGGAAGATACATTGCTCATTAAAATGGATAAATAACTCTATACATTCTTTGATAGTTCAACTGACATAATAGAAAAGACAACATTATAATTTACATTAATGGCCATGGAAGTAATATCAAATTTGGGATTCATGGCCACTATGCTTGTTTTCATAAATGTTTTAAAATACTTTCCCAATTAATATAAACATCTAATGGTGATTAGTAGTAATTTTCAAATCTATAGAAAAAGTATATACTTATCAATAAAAATCATAGATTTACTATTCATGATTAATAGCACTTTTTTCAATGTAGTTATTGTACCTTCTGTACATTACATGTATTACTGGCCAGGTGATATTAAAAGAAGACTGAGACACTTTAGAGTAATCTCTAAGTATAAGATCTATCTCATTAGCTGATTTCTTAGTTTCTGAATTTTAGCTAAATAACTAAACCATATACAATGTAGTTTTTTAAAAACTCTTTTAAAAAGATGAAAGTTAAATTATGTACACAATCTCATTATAACATGCAATGCTACTGAAACATAATTTTAAAATAGAAAAAGGCAATCATCCTTTAAGTATAGACAAAAGAATAATAAAAGAGGAAGAAATTTTATGAAAAAAATTGGAGAATACTCCAACAGACACAAAGAATTCAACTTTCTTGCATAAACTTTTATCTTAGTAATCACTACTTACTTTAGTATGACATGACAACTTAGGAGGACAAACTAGTAATTTTAAAAGAACCAGAGAAATATGGGTATTTCTCAAATTAGCAAAATGCAATATTTACTTTCTTTGTTTTCCTTTCCCTTCCTTTTCAAGTTCTTTTTCTTTCTTTTTTTAATGAATCAAGTTATTCTTCTCAGTGTAGCATTCTGATGACTAACAGCCCTATAAACCTCTCTATTTTGTTATAGAATTCACAAAAATAAGTAACAAATACTAGAAGCACTAAAATAACCTTGCTAATGAAACTAATTATAATAGAATAAAATTTCTCTGGCTATACATTTTAATATATATCATTTTAAAAACCCTCCCATAATACTTTAGAGAGAGACTAGACATTGACATTCACAGCATAATTCAAACCCTACTTGGGTTGGAACTTTATTACTGTTGTAAAGGTGTTTAAGTTTAAAAAAAAAAAAAAGTCCATCAGGTTTGAGGTCTGATTCATTAGGATAAAGTATTTCTGTTCACAAATAAGTTTCTAATGTTGTCCTTAGACCAGTTTTGCACTTTTACTAATTTTGCAGTTTACTGGTGTGACTGCAAAAGCAAAAAAGCCGATTCAGTTTTAGTATTCGGAACTGAAGGGGGGGGGGAAATTGACCCCAGTACTGAAAAACCAACATACCCAGCCTACTCAGCTAAATCAGAAAGTTTCAGTCACTTTTTTCAATGGGCTAATCTTTAATTTGACCTACATCCACCTGAGAACTTCTGAAACTGAGCTACTATTTCTAAAGATACACATGGGTCAAGAGTCCAAAAATAGTTTTCAAGTTGGGTAACGGCAAAAAATCGTGGCACACTCTTATTTGCCTTAACCAAATCATATTTGATACCTGCTCATAACAATATAAACCCACCTGCCATGATGTCATCCAGCGTGTCATTGAGGGTCTGAGCAGGGCTGGCTACCATTAACCCTTGTTGTGTTTCTGTCAGAATTCCTTGCCCCAGCCCTGCCAACTGTGCTTGGCCCAGTACTGGCTGTCCAACTATCACTCCTTGCAGTTCTGTAAGATTTGCGATGGACCCTGGAGGCAAGGGACCTGCCGCCAGAGGCAAAGCTTGAGGCATCGCCAGAGGCTGGATTGGTGCAAAACCCATCTGCGCAGCAGTCTGCTGGGGTTCATCTTTAAGCAAAATGGGATCCACTTGCTGTAAGCGTGCATAATCTCCCTCTGAAAGCTGTTCTCCAACCCCAACAGGAGTTAGTAGTCCCAGGTGTTGGCAAGACTGTTGTTGCTGCTGCTGAAGTTGTATTCTTTGAGCTTTAACCTCTAGATACTGCTTTTTTAGCTGCTGTTGAGTTTTCAGTTGCAATTCTCTTTCTACTTTCTGTAGTTCCTCCAAGATCTTTTGTTTCTTCTGAATTTGCTCCTCCCTCGTTTTGTTCAGCTCCTCAATCTTCTCCTTAGTAAGTTGGTCAGCATGAGCCAGTTCCAACGACTGCAGCTGTGCATTCTTTTCTATGGCTTCTTTTATCCTCTGTTCCAGTTCTGTTAACTTTCCCTGAGCCTCTTCTACAATGCTCTCTGGAGACTGATTGGTGATGTAACCCTGTACATCCTGGCTGTTTGCTGGCAAATGGCTGCTGGACTTTTGTTTAGAAGCAGCTGTGTGAAAAAGAAACCCCCTCAGAAGTGCACATGAATGGCATCCTCATTACAGAGTTACTGTTGGGAGGTTTAGTGCCAACAGTTATGCACCAAGTTATCACATCCTTAGAAGGTGAAAATGCACTGGTAAGGAGTTAAAAGCAAATCTACCTTCTTTATCATAAATATAAAATGTAAGGATTTTATGTGCATAGAGTAAGCTTTGGAAATAAATTTCAGAATTTAAAAAATATCACAAAATTATAATTAGACATAGAGGGATGCAAGTTTGTGGCATCTAAGAGGTACAAATAAAGCAAAACCTAGCGCTATGTGTAGATACTGCATCTGGTCATAAAGATGTAAAAACTTACAGGAACAGAAAAATAATGCTAAATTATTAAGGTATAGGGAATACTTAGACCTCTAAGTCAAGGTTTTTCCACTTTTAACAGTCTGTGCCTTTTAAATGCACATACACAAAGAATACCCAAACCACTGAGAAGTACCAAGAAATTAAAATCCAACTAAATATATGTCTTTGCTGGGGCCTATCATCTTCAAGATAGGCAGGACATAAATTCACACATTCACACAGCTATCTGGACAGTAGAGAATTGGGATTTGGTTTCCCTGGAAGAAAAGATGCAGGACTACGTCATCCACTGTATCTTCTGACAGCCAGGTGAATAAACTGATCTGGCTATAGGTATAACAATCAGTTGTTTTCTATACCAACTGAAAAAGGTACCAAGGTTCTAGACTGGTGGTAGTGATTGAAAATATTTGATGGAAATACTTAGTATTCTTGTTCGTAAAAGAATATAAGTAGCCAAAAACCACATTGGATCTTCAGATAAAACTTTTAAAAAGAAAAACTGACTTGAACTGGTTGTTGTAATGTTTTGGGACATTAACTTATAAACATGCAGAGTGTAAAATCCACAAATCAAATATGGACCTCAGAATTCTAGAGGAAAATACAAGCATATGTGAAGTTAACTTTGAATTGTTGAGAAAATATATCCCAGATATAAAATCTGTATTAAACCAGTTATTCTAAAATAATTTTTAATATTTGATCCAACTTGTTAATCTTATGCCTTATCTCACTACAGACATATAAGTAAATAATTTACAAAAATATCCAACTATACCCAGCCTAACCTTGTAACATGTATAGAACTTACTAGACAGATATTAGAGGAAATCATGGATAATCAAAAATGCATCAGAGATGAGCGTCTGAATATCTATTTCTATCATGAATGTACTAACTTTAACTATCTTCTCTTCCAAAACATTATTTTGATAAAAAATCTTTATGCCAACTTATTTCATTTTTTGTGGAAAATAATTTAGAATGGCTAGGCTTTTGTACCCTTATCATATTTACCTAAATAACATGTACAAAACAGTCTTTAGAAGTGTAACTGACCTTTATTCCTGATGGGAAGAGTATTGGCAACATTGGCAGGTGGTTTGTCAGGCTCCTGAGGGGGGACAACCATGGGCAGTGCTTGAACTGGTACACGAGGAGCCTAAGACAAAAGACACTAATTGATTATATTTCTTTTCCTATATATTCCACTACTTAATATGCTTTAAACAAAGAATAAATTAGAGACTTCTTAACATATTCTGAATATGGCATTTATCAAGAAAATGAAAGATTTATAGAAAATGTGTTGGTACCCAATTATTTTCCATGATTTTCTTAAATGGGATTTTGAATTCAAATAGACATTCTGACCATAATAAAAATAGAAAAGAAAAATCTTATCATTCTAGAAGCTGATTATTACAGCAGACATTAACCATATAAATTAAGTAACAATATGTGTAAAAAGACTACAAATTATAACAAAAAATAATCTTTCTAGTTTAAATTGAAATTATAAGTTAAAGGAGGATAGAGAAGAAATAGTACTAAATTCTTTACTTTTGAATCTTACCCTATTTAAATCGTGGGATGGGGGGGTTAACTGAGTGACATCTGGTGGAGGGGCTGAAAGCAAGTTATTAGGATAGTCCAAAAGATAGCAAACAACACTTGTATGACCACCTTTTGCTGCTTCTATCAACATAGTTGAACCATCCTAAAAGAACAGATATGGAAGAGGAGAAAATGGAAAATAACATTAGTTTACAGAATCTTCAGAAGTTAAAGCCAACAGGCAACAAGATACATTGACATTATGAGTTGTAACATTTCCTTTAACCAAACAAACAACAACAAAAATAATATATTTAGGATGCTATTATAAAACGGAACTTGTAGATAATGTTTTGCAATGTTATGTCACAATGGTACTTAAAATACTTGAGTTACATACTTTTAAACGGTGAGTAGGATCTGCCCCATGTGCCAAAAGTAGTTCCACCACTGCCAGATGACCGCCTGCACAAGCCAGGGACAGGACAGTATGGTCGTTATTAGCTGTGGTTCTATTAACATTGGCTCCTAAAACAAACAAGGTGTAGAAAATCATGTTAGTATTTTTTTTCTGAAATCATGGTAAGTTTCAAAATCACATGCTGAGAGAATAGTACAATGAAGCCTCATATACTCATTATCCAGCTTCAACAGTAATAAACACACAACTAATATCATTTTACACATATTCATACCAACTCTCCTTTAATACCCAAAATTGCTCTAAAGCAAATTCCAGACAGACACGACATAATTTCGTCCTTAAGTATTTGAGTATGCAGCAGTAAAATATAAAGATAAAAATGTGTTTCATTCCTAATGTAATCCTTTTTTAAAAACAAAAAGGAGAATATGAAATATGATCTACATTTTAAGTTCTTCAGTAGAAAAAATTATTAAAGACCAGTAAGATACAGTTATCACTCCCATATTTGACTTAAATATGTAGTGAATTAACATTGAACAGAAAATGAGAGCAGTACCATCTTTTCTCACTAAGAAATATCTGGGAATAAATATAGTTTCCAAAAAAATATATATCCATTGCTAATTTGGATTATTGTCCTAGGCATCATGGGAAATGAAAATAAAATAAAAGAAAGAAACTGGAGCTAAATCCATTAAAATAAACCAAAAAAGAGAAAGAACTATGATTAAGGCGACCAATTTCACTCTTGAGAATACTGAACTATAAATATACATCATAGGGTTTAAAGTATCTATAATACTTATCTATAATAAGTTCACCACTAATTATTTCTGATCTTATTTTCTACGTCTATTTACAATACAAACTTGAGATTTCTTTAGGATTTTTGTAAAAAGGAAATGGTATATATTTTTATTTTAAAACTATATATAGTCTATAGCCCCTTTTTTAAATTCAACATTAAATTAATAATAAAATCTTACTGAAACAAAACTAACTTAATCTATATTTAAAAATACGATGAATCCTGTATGAAAAACTGTTTCAAATGACATGTGTGTACTAAACACCAAAGAAATAATTTAAAGGAAGTAATACTTATTCTAATATTCTCATTAAGGTTTTTTGGCATTCTAACTAGAACTACTGACCATGAATGAAACTCTCTAAGTATTTTGCTGAATTTGTCCCATCTTAATGTTGAATATTTTTTGTGCTGTATTTAAGCAAGTCCCTATCTTACAAAGAAAACTCAGGCCCAAGGCAATACAAACTTGAAGAGTAACTTGCTCCAAGTTGCTCAGTGGCAGAAATATCATAAAAATCCAGATTTCAAAATAATACATTACATAAGCACCCCAGACTTTAAATTACTTCAATTCTAAAAGTTTTAGACAAATAATTTTTCTCTATAGAAGTATCCTCCATAAGGATATTGCTCAGTATGACAATTCTTCACATTTTTGAACTGTTCAATGTACTACAGGATGTTTATCAACTACCAATTCATTAAATGTCAGTGGCATCTATCCATTATATAATAACGCAAAACTATTCCTCACCTCTCAATCTCTCAATGCCTAAAGGCAGAGGATATTACACCTTTGGGAATAAAGTAATGTACACAAACCTACCTTTGCTAATTAAGAACTGAACAGTACAAACATGACCAGCTCTTGCAGCTTTCATTAAAGGAGTTCTTCCACCTTCAGATTCATGCTCCTGTTTAAAGAGTAAAGATTGAATTGACATTTAATTATTAATGAAAAATCATTCTTTTTCTGATTTCTGAATCTCTATATATTAAATATA